TCACACGCACACACACACACACACACACACACACACGCCGGCTGTAGTGTTGCGTCACGCGGATGACTTTTCGATCGTGGAGACAAATACCGCTGATTGTCATGACAACGCTGCCAAAATACAGCTGAGGAGTAACCCGAGTTTAGTGTGTGTGTGTGTCTGTGTGTGTGTGTGTGTGTGTTGTAAAGGAAAACTGCTTTACTCAACCACAAAAAAGAAGTCAGTCTCTCTCTCAGCAGTATGAAATAATTATGGGATGTTCTGTTCGTCTCTGCCCTCCAGGAACTCAGCATGTGTTCTGTTTTTGGAGACATAACATATTTACCCCCCCCCCCACACACACACATACACACACACACACACACACACACACACACACACACACACACACACACACACACACATACAGACCCAACATTTCACCTCCCGCTAAGAGGAAACAGCAGAACACGAACAGGGAGAAGTTTCGTTCATACATCTCAACCTGAAACAAAACTCCCGGTTCAACGAGTAAACACACACACACACACACACATTTGCGCACACACGAACCCACACACACAAACCAGGGCCCGGATTGGAGGTTGAAGAGGGTCCCTGAAACACTTTCCCACGAATCACATCCCTTCTCTTTTTTAGTTTTAAAAAACAGAAGGAGGAAGACGAGGAGAAGGAGGAGGAGGAGTGATGCCCCCTCCTCCCCTCTCCTCTGCCTGTTTTTGCCCTCGTCACTTGTGCAATTATTTGTAGCAACAAAAATATAAAAAAGAGGCGCCCCCCCCCGAAGCCGGCGCGGCGGCGCTCAATATTTCAGACGGAACAAATGAATAGCGCGAGGCTCTTTTAGCAGAATAAACTGCTCTTGCGTGTCAAGACAAAGTCTGGGGAATAAGGGACCTAATGTGTTGTGACAATAGATAGTGTAGAGTTTGTGTGTGTGTGTGTGCGTGTGTGTGTGTCGGGGTGGGGGGCAGATAGAGAGAGACGGAGGCAGATCTGTTCCAAGGACTGTTTTAGTGCCTCATCAAATATTTAGTTTGATTGTACATGGTCCTGTAATTGCCATCTTGGCTTGTGAATTATTGATGGCCTGTAGCAGAGCCAAGGAGGGCCCTCATCTCCACACACACGCACACACACACACACACACACACACACACACACACACACACACGCACACACACACACACACACACACACGCACACACACACACACACACACACACAGGCCAGTGAATCATGGTGTAATGGTAATAGCATGAAGCTGCTCTTGTTTCATATCCTAATTAGCAGCAGAGGAGCATCATATGAATTCCTCAGTAATTATTTGAAGAGGGCGTCTCAACAACACGGCAGAGTCAATATTAGACTTTGCTCGCCCTCCTAATGAGGCCACGCGCCCCCCCCCCCCCCTCCACCCAACCCCCACCTTCTTCTTCTCTAGTTTTCTTCTTCTGTCGAACAAACAAGCCTGTGATTCTCTCGCTGGTCTCGGGTGAACCGGGACGGTTGACGTCAGCTCGGTGGTCGCCCCCCTCCTGCGATAAAGTCGATGGCGGCGTGCTGGTCCCGGGCTCGCCGGGTGGTCAGGTGGTAAAGCGGCGGCTTCTCACTGCGAGCATCAAACCATGAGGGCGAGCGACGGCTTTTAAAAATACTCCTGCTGAAATATTGATTTTCTTTTTTCTGCTTCTTTTTTTCCTTCTAACGTAATAAGTGAGCGACTCCGGGGAGTGTGTGTGTGTGTGTATGTGTGTGTGTGTGTGTGTGTGTGTGTGTGTGTGAGTGTGTGCGTGTGTGTGTGTGAGTGTGTGTGTGTGTGTGAGTTCATCAGGGCCTTGTAATCTGAGCTCGACGTAATTGCTTCCCATAGTGCACTGGGGTGTGGTGGAGGGGTGACATCATCTGGAGTGGCCGGTTTAAAAACGCTGAAGTCAGACCCCCCCACCCCACACACACACACACACCCACACCCAAACACTCAACCCCCCCACCCCCCTCTCCCCCAATGTGAAGCCAAACGAGCTTTAAATCTGAACCACCCGGCAGCCTCTGGTCGTAAACATCGTCTCCTCTCGTCGTCGTGGCGACGGAGCCGCCAGGTAGACCGAACCCGCTCCCCCAAAACACTGACCAAGACGCGGCTGCAGACCCCCCCCCGACCCCCGACCCCCGACCCCCCCTAATGCTCATCTTCTTTTCACCTGCTTGTGATGGAGACGATGGTTCTTTGTGTGTTTCTTTGTGGGTCCACGTCAGCGCACAGTCAGTCAGACTGAAAAAACACATACAAACAGAGACACACACGTATGTTTGATAGGAGGTGCGTGTGCGTCTGTGTAATGTGTGTTTGTGTAATGTCTCTATGTGTGTGTAGTTGTGTGTTAAAGTCAGCTTTCTGTTGTTTTGTTTTTGTTCATATGTGTTGTTGTCAGTGTGTCCACACTAACGTGTGTGTGCTCTTTTCAGTCTGTGTGAGTCCGTATGGTTGTTTAGTGAATGTGTTTTTGTAGTGTCTGTGTGTTGTTTCTTGCCATTGTTCTAAAAACGCGTATCACCCATTGTGTATACTTTTCGCTTTGTGTGTACTGTGTGTGTGTGTGTGTATTTGTGTACATACATAGGTGTTTGTGTGTGTAAATGTTTGTCTCCGAGCAGCTCGTTGTACGTGTGTGTATCAGTGTGTGTGTGTGTGTGTGTTTGGTCAGTCTGATCAGCTTGTTGTGTGTGTGTGTGTGTGTGTGTGTGTGTGTGTGTGTGTGTGTGTGTGTGTCTCTCGTCTCCAGCTGCGCTTTAATTCAATCCGTATTGATCGATATCAGCTCTCTGAAGGACTCGGTATCATCTGAATGGAGCTCCATATTATTCTGTTCCATAAAGGGCATTAGAGCCTCCAGAGCAGCAGATCGGCTTCCAGTCGATACACACACACACACGCGCGCACACACGTACACACACGCACACACGCGCTGCGACGAGCACTGGAATCCGTCTCTCAGCTCCGACCGGTTTTCCTGTTTCACGCTGAAGAAAAACTGTCCGTTGAAGTCAAATTCAAACATCAAAGCTTTTTTATTCATAACTTGTGAAGGTAGAAATACTTTAAACCAGTTTCCTGAGGCAATTATGGAGTTTAAACTTCCCTTTAATGTGTACCTTAAATTAACCTCAATATGTCAATAAATATAGAATAAATAAATGACTAAAAATTCAAATTAAAATGTATTAAATATTAGATCGTATGGTTTTCAATATTTCAAAATTGCCTTTAAAATGGGGTTAAGTTGATGGATTATAATACAGAGATATTATAATTATAAGATAATATTAGAGAAGTGTTGTGATCTTTATTGTTTAACAAACAAAAAAATAAACAGAATGATAACCCTTAAAGTCGACCTTTAGGGTGTAAAATAATAGGAACTTTAATGAAATTGTTTTTACAGATTAAAAAAAAATGTTTTTCACTGTTGGAGAACCTGTAAAGCAGATTGTAAAACAATCTATAATCAATCCCCTAAAATAACTATTATTAAAGTGTTATTTTAAAGGGATTCTGCCTGCGACTCTTTAAAGATATTGTAACTGTCTTATTATGGCGGAAATCGAAGCCGACCTCATGCCACCATTAATACCCCCCTCCTGCCCGAGCATTCCCAGCATGCCTTGCTGCAGCAGCGGATGGGTTGGAGGTAGTCTCTCCGAGGTTATCTCCTGGTTAATGTGACATGTCTGTCTGCGACCTTGCCGCTTGTTAACTGCTCGGATTATTATTGTGATAATGTGGCAATTAAAAAGGAAGCGCTCCATCCGAACAGGAGTGGGGGGGCAGGAGGGGGGGGGGGGGGGGGGATAGTCCGAGAAGATGGATGCGCAGAGATTACAAGGCAGTGGGAGATGCATTAAGGTGGCCATCCATTCCGACACCCCCCCCGGTGTCCTCCTCCATAGCTGCGGCTTATTGCCGCCCGTCCTCATTGATATCCATTCCCAATCAATACGCCTCTGCTGCCGTGAAAACCGGGCGTAAATCAATGTAGGTGGGGGGACATAGGGGGGAGGGGGGGGGCTAATGAGACACCATAAGTCTGCAGGAAGTGTTCGACTGTCTTCATTGGGACGCCGCCGCTGAATGATAATTTCAACTGAGAGACAAGATGTAAACCCGTCACAGAGCGAGAGAGGAGCGCTTTATTTATTCACCAGCCACAGAGATAGATGTGCGTTTCATTGTAACATCGAGTCAAGTGTGCATTTACAGGGCAATTTAAACAGGAAATTATGTTTGGTTTAACGGGATTCCTTTAAAAGGAGGCTCTCAATTCACTTTGTTGTTTTACACACAAAGTATAATTACTAATAATAAACGTAGTATTTTATTTGCTTTGTAATACACATTACAATGCAGCTGTAACATAACTAGACCTGTTGTTTATGACAAAGCATTTAACACATTTGTCATAAGCATTTATTTATTCATAAGTATCTTCATTACATAACCTTAGCAAATGTAAACACCCCATTGTAAATATCTGTCTTTTAATTATTTCAAAAGGAACTTTGTATCTTCTTGAAGCACCGGCTTCCTGTGGAGTTTTATTTCTGTGATCAGTACTTAAATAAACAACAATTTAAATACATAATTTAAATTGTTGTTTTTGTGTAATGTGTTTTTCATAATACGGACTGAATGCTTTTATTTATGAAACAAAAACGTAAAAACTATTAACTCTTTTAAACTTCAATACACACGGCATGAAAAAAGATCTTCCCCTTTCACAATAAAAGTCCTGTGCAGATCTTCTACTTTTCTTGGTTGTTTACATTTGCACGTTGTTATTCATTGTGTAAAGATCTGAGCTTTTGAATTTTTGGTTATGAAACAATAGAACTCTGCTTGGATGTAAAACTAAGACTACTCTCTGATCCTGGATCAGCGTCTTGGAGCCTTGTAACTAATCCGCCCCTTCGGTTTCTTTTTTCTTTTTCTTTTCCGGCAGATTCTTCCTCAAGTTTTTCCTCAAGTGCAATCAGAACTGTTTGAAAAATGCAGGAAACCCACGAGACATGAGGAGGTTCCAGGTAAGAGACCTCCGTTCTCTGTGAGCGCTTCCTCTGAGGCCCGTCCACACGTTGACCTGTGTGTGTGTGTGTGTGTGTGTGTGTGTGTGTGTGCAGGTGGTGGTCTCCACTACGGTCAACGTTGACGGGCACGTGCTGTCGGTGTCAGACAACATGTTCGTCCACAACAACTCCAAACATGGCCGCCGCGCACGGCGCCTGGACCCCTCTGAAGGTAAAAGACATAAAGGGGAGATTTCATAACGCTCTGAGTCTAGGAAATATTAAATGTCTCAAAACCAACCACAGTAAAAATAAAACAGTGAGTGAATCTGAAAGATTCATGAACCCCTTCCAGCTGCTGGCATGTCTCCGTACCGAGCCGCTGGACGCCCCGCGCTGACAAAACAAACGCTCCCTTCTTCCAGCAGCGAAACCCAAATTAAAAAATGAATAAACCTTTTGCGATGAAACCAGACCCGGTGACACTTCTCTTCTGAGGCAGTAAAGTTGAACACGTCTTTGCCGCGCTGCCTCGCTAGTAAAACCCGCCGGCCTTGACCGCGAAGCAATGACATATGTCGCTCGTTTGATTTCACTTGGTGTGCCAGATGGGTGGGGCTTAGCCTGCACCACTACGGCCATTGTGATGCCAAATGTTGGACACACAAAAGTAGACTGGATTAATGTATTTCCTATGAAACTCCGAACACGCTTCGTTTTGTCCTGGGTTGAAAAGCCCCACCCGCCTGGCACCGACAGGAGAGTAAAACAAGCAACTTTTTTTTTCTCAAAAAAAGGCGTGTACAGATCGATACATCCAACGATCCATCCGTCCAACTTTCCAGACCTTGTTCACCACTTTCCCCTCAGCTTGCTTTAAAGGCAGATACAAAAGTCTCCTGTTTGTTTCGCTTTACTTGGAACACCATGCGGGTGGAGTTTAGGAGATGAAGGCTTTAGATAGTTTCATGTGAGATGTCAGTCGGTGGAAAGTAGAACTAGAGTCCAGGGATGCTAGAGGGGGGCGGGGCACATCAGGACATTTGACACCGTCTGTGAAAGTGAAAGTCACAGAGAAGTTGATGAGTTTGTATAGACTTTAGCCTAAACCTCACAGCAGTTGTTATTGTATCATGTGAGGTAAACCCCACCCCTCTGGGACATTCAGTGGAAACAAACATTTTGCCACCGGTCAGACATCAGTGAAAAGTCGTGTCCTCCTTCTCTCACATCCCAAATTACTTCTTGTGCAGTTTCCCTTCAACCCGGTCATAATGTTTGAAGATTGGTATTACTTGTTTTAACCTACTTCGAACACCAGCCGGGTGGGGCTTACCATGTCAGGGCATTCAATAATATCATAGCGACAAAAATAGTAGACTAACCCCGGCTTTTATACAGTTGTGTCTAAGCTTCCAGCCACTTGTCCTGCAACCTTAGCCAAACTCTTCCCGTCCCTTTGGGACATCCAGCCTAGAAAAACAAGCACTTAAAACTATGTGGTACCAAACATCATAAATCTGTTGTGTTCTCCGTCCTCCCCCACAAACCACCTCACTCTGCCGTCTCCCTGGACTAAAGAAAAGTTTTGAGCTTTTTATGGAAAGAAGTAGTAACTTGTTTGCTTGTTTTAACTAGTTGGTGGGGCTTAGAATACGAGGGCTTTGAACAGTATCACATGACACCTTCACTCACACAAAAGTTAACAGGACAAACTTCTGTCTTCTTGGCACTCATCCTTTTAGTCCTGTGAGGTAAACCCCGTCCCTGTGGGACGCACAGCAGAGTGAAACAAACCCTAGAACTGTTTGCCACCAGTCAGACTTCAGATTCCTGTCCTGTCCTCCCGCTGTCTCCTCCCGTGCGGCCACCGCGGTCTCAGACGACTTGTTTAAAGTTTTCTCGGATTATCAGGGAGAGGGAGGGGTCTGCTTGTTGCGTTTGGTTTAACCTACTTGTAGCACCGGGCGGGTGGTGTTCAGACAGGATGAGAATTGTTGATCAAAGAAAAGAGACTCTTTTTTTCTAACCCCACCTGTGTGGCACGTCCATGGGGATGAAACAAATGCTATTTGACACCAAAGTGTCACTCACCATCGTGAGAACACTGTTGTTGTTTCCTCACCTGTGATCGGCACATAGAAACATTCATGTGGAGGCGCCTCTCTTCTCTGAAGTGGGGGTACGGGTTCTGTATGGTGTCCTGCGGGGGCCAAACGGGGCCCCGGTGTCTGCCAGACGGTCGCCGCTATCTCAGCTCGGCCCCTTTCATCTCATCCAGACTGGGATGTTTCCAGGGCCGATAAAAAGCCTCCCAACATCTGCTCCCAGCCTTTCACTTCAGAAAAACTTTCCACCTGCCAGCCCCCCTCCGGCCCCTCACTCCTTCCCCCCTTTCTTCTCCTTCACCCACTGGACTGTTTGTTTACCGCGGCGACAAAAGAGGGAAATTAATAAGGAGATGACAATCGACCCTCTGCTGCTTCTGGGCTTTCTTTCATCTGAAAGCTCTGAGTGACTTTGAGAAGTTGATGAGGACGCCCGGCTGAAGACACCTGTCTGGCGCTCTAACTTCCTGCTGAATACCAGGACCCAATAGAGCGGGATCAGTCACATGACACCGTCTGTGAGATCATGAGCCTCTCTCTCGAGCCCAGATAACACGAATAACTTTTCCCTCTTCACTACTTGGTGGCCCTTTTATTGAAGCCAAAGCTTCATGTGTTAAAGCTGCAGTTCTTCTAGTGACCACCAGGAGGAGACTCCTCTGGTCCTGTAGACGTCTATGAGAAAAGATTCTACCTCTCTCTTGATTTATTCCCTTAGTAGATATTGTAAACATAAACTTATGGTCTCAACTTCCAGTTTCGTCTTCTTTAATACAGCATGATGTTCACTTAGGGAATTATGGTCCATTTAGAGCCGAATAGACCATAAGTCATGGGGGCGGGGCTACAATCTGACTGACAGACTTATACGGTGTTTCTACATCCTCCTCTGTCCATATATGGTCACTTCCTGTTCACTTGCCAACTGAAGGTGATCTGTATTGATCCACGTCTACATCTAATTCATCACTCCACAATGTGTGACAGAGTCTTTGATCATCATCGTCATAGTAAAACGTCCCTCGATCCAGGAAGAGGTCGTAAACCCCCCGTCGGCCTGTCTGACTGGACTGGGCTGATCGGTCTAGTCGTCACGGCGACGCTGTTTATGTGTGGAGCCCCATATTGATCTCTGCGGTGTGTCGGCGGGTGAAAGCTCTCTGTTAGTCCAGGAGTTGCCGGCACTCTAGCTCCGGACGTCTTGTTTCTTAAGGGGGAGAGGTCAGAGGTCAGAGTAAGCCGTGAGAAGGAGAAACCGACAAAAAAAAGTCACCATGACGGCACTCAAAGACGTTATAAAATCGGCCTTTTGATTTGGATCTGAATGTTAATTAATGCGTTTTTGCAGGCACGTGTTTTTTTTTAACCTGCTGACAGGTGAGCTTGTCCAGGTGATCACCCTCCATTCAAAGTATTTTAGTTCCTCTTCCTTCCTGACTTCCGAGTCAGGCTTTTCCTGATTAAAATCTAAAGTACGAGTGGCAGACAGGAAGTAGTTGTTTATTTTAACCAGAACCAGACCGTCTCAGCTACTATACGAAACTCAACCAAAAATAATCGCCTTTTAGCGGTGACGGGGTGCCGTCCGAATCCACGCTCCTTCCCCATGTGTGAACCACGTTTCTAACCGCTCGTGTTTGCTGTGGTGTCTCCGAAGCAGCCACGCCCTGCATCAAAGCCATCAGCCCGAGCGAGGGCTGGACGACCGGCGGCGCCACCGTCATCCTCATCGGGGACAACTTCTTCGACGGCCTGCAGGTGGTCTTCGGCACGATGCTGGTCTGGAGCGAGGTGAGACGAGACAGAACCCCTGAGTTCTGACTGTCAGGCTGCAATTTGAATTGATTTGAGCTCAGATCTCAGATCTGAGCTTCAATATTTGCATTTCCTTCCTCAAATAATATCAAACAGAATAAAGCAGCTGCAGGTAGCTTAAATCACGCTCTCCATCTTCTTCATGAACACACACACACACACACGCTCACACACATTCCCAGAAACACCTGCATCTGTAAATCTGTGCAGCTCCGCCAAGTCCTCATGCCCCCAAAAATATGCAGATGAGGAGCTGGCATTGAGGTGCGGGAGGAGCAGCGGCGCATACGGCACGCCATGAAATATTGAAGCCGGTCCAGAAGAGCAGAACACCTGGCGGCGGGACGGGAGGGGGAGGGGCGGGGGGGAACATCCACGCTGCTCAGCTCCACATCACACGGCGCCGGTGGAGATCCCGGCTTTGATCAGCGAGCACACGGACTCCGAAGGCCCAGAATCCCTCCGAAGGAATACTCACTGACCCAGATAGACCCAGAGAGGAGGACGAGGAGGACCGCTTCCTGCAGGAAGTTTGTGACGGGAGGAAGAGGAAGAGAGACGCCGCAGGATTTCATCACATTGCTGTACCTTTATAGAATCTCAGTAATATTCACAATTTAGGGAGAGAGAGACAGGAGGAGGAATGTTGAATCAGCGATGATTCTGAAAACAGTAAAAACCTGGTAAAAACCTGTGTGAGATCCACTTTAGGCCGGATCTGCTTTTCTCTCTCAGGTGTCGTGGAGGCGTAACACAGTTTTCTTCATCCTTTAACCGTGTCTTGGTTCTTTTGTTATATTGTTGTTATATTTGTGATGCTGTTATAGTTAAAACAAATGAATAATTTTTTTTTACTCGCCCCCCTCCTCAGCTGATCACGCCTCACGCCATCCGAGTCCAGACCCCCCCTCGCCACATCCCCGGGGTCGTGGAGGTCACGCTGTCCTACAAATCCAAACAGTTCTGCAAAGGAGCGCCAGGACGCTTTGTCTACACTGGTAAGACCCGCCTTATACGTGGGGGGGGGCAGGGGGTAGGAGGGCGGCGTTTATCAGTTGTGAGTTGAATGTCTGATGCTGTCAGAAGGACGGTGAGAAAAGTTTCTCAGTTCCTAAATCCTTATTTAGGAATAAGGAAGGAATTTCCCTTTGTGCTGCTTTAAAGGTTCCAAAAACACCTTTCTGTTTCTGCCCCTTGGCAACAGAAGTCAATATTCTTACTAAAAAAAAAGTGGATTGCATTGTATTTTTAATTTACCCAGAATGCAGCAGAGTTCAGTGCTGAACTTCGGCTCAGAGCACTTGAAGACGAGCTCAAAGTGATCTTAAAGTTAAGGTTTTGAGACCTTAAACCTTCTGTTATTCACCGAGAACTGTTTTCTCCACGTCAAAAGTGAAGAAAACACCTCACCCCTCCCCCCCCCCCCCCTTGGGCGTCACTGTCAGTCGAACCGTCCGAAGACTCCTTTATCTCCGCCTTTGAGTCGCTGCTTTTACTGTCCCCATTATTCCATCAGAATATCCAGATGTCATTCAAAGTAGCAGACAAGTCAGATCGGAAGGCTGCTCACGGCGATAAGTAAATGTCATCCTGGCCGGGGGGGGGGGGTGAGGCAGAGTGTGTTCGGGCGTCCTGTTTAACAGCGGTTTATCGGCGGCGGCGGGTGGGGGGGGTCTTAGTCGGAGGGACAAGGCCCCTCACAATGGACCTCACGCTAACCCTCCGTTAGCGATGCTAATCTGAGCGCCGAAGCTCTTGTGTGAGTGTGAATGGAGCGCGTTGTTATCTACAGAGTTTAAAGTGCAGATCACACGTCACATCTTCTGTCAACGCAAACACAGACGAGCTACAATGAAAGAAGCTTTTTTTTTCGGGGTCCTAGTTAAATGTGGGAAAAACATGTAATTCTCAAGTGGAAATAAATGACCAAGATCTTTTTGAAAGGTGGAAATAAAAATGATTTTTTTATGCTTTTCTAAGGTGGTGAAGGAAAAGCTCAGATACCTGAATGCGTTGTTCCCTCCAGGCTTCCATAACTTTGATATTATTTAAGTGTAGAATGGAACTCGACCTTCAGATATTTTACAACACGTCTATTATTGTCTGTAAAATCTCAGTCATGTGGCATGTAGAATAAACATAAAAAGATTTGTATTTATTCGATTGAGCTGTAGTTAGAAAATAAAATAAATAAATATATATAAATATATCTTTAACATAGATTAAAGATGCTTCTCATGATAATTTATAGCTTATACCACCTGGTCATTGATATATAACTATGATATACCAGTTTATTAAATATTAAATTATGTGTAATTATATCGTCCAAAACATTTTTATCACACAAAAATAGTCTAAATATTTGTACTTTGGTACATAAAACACAAAACCAAGTTCTTTTTTTTCTCAGCTCTCTCTCACACACACACACACACACACACACACACACACACACACACACACACACACACACACACACACACACACACACACACACACACCATGTGTGTGTTCATGAGCAGTGCTTTTAAAGACACTAAATGGGCGAGCTGTGGATAATTGAAGAGGAGAATGATGATGTAATTTCCTTCAGGAGTTCCTTACTCTTTATTTTAGTCCTGATCTTAAAATACCAACAAACCTCTTCAATCTGACCTTCTTTCGTCAACCCTTGAGACCCTTGAGATGAAACTCCTGGTATTTATTCTCCTGCTCAGTTAAATTGGTGCATATTTGATTAAATGGAACGTCTGTTTGATTTTCAATGTTTTATATTAAACAAAAGGTTTACGGTTTAAGGGTTCTTTAGTGGTCTTTAAGTCGGTTCTACAGGTTCTTTAGGAATTTGCAGTGATGTGGAGGTCTTTTCAGCGGTCCTGGGTACGTTATAGAGTCAGAGTTCAGATATAGAGTCGTGGTTATAAGGACCTTTAGGAGGTTTTTGCTGTGGATCTTAAGGGCCTTAAAGAGTTTCCAGAGCTCCTTGATGAGGTCACAAGGACCTTAAAGAGTTTCCAGAGCTTCTTGGTGAGGTCACAAGGACCTTAAAGAGTTTCCAGAGCTTCTTGGTGAGGTCACAAGGACCTTAAAGAGTTTCCAGAGCTTCTTGGTGAGGTCACAAGGACCTTAAAGAGTTTCCAGAGCTTCTTGGTGAGGTCACAAGGACCTTAAAGAGTTTCCAGAGCTTCTTGATGAGGTCATAAGGACTTTACAGTTTCCAGAGCTTCTTGGTGAGGTCACAAGGACCTTAAAGAGTTTCCAGAGCTTCTTGGTGCGGTCACAAGGACCTTAAAGAGTTTCCAGAGCTTCTTGGTGCGGTCACAAGGACCTTAAAGAGTTTCCAAAGCTCCTTGATGAGGTCACATGGACCTTAAAGAGTTTGCAGAGCTTCTTGATGAGGTCATAAGGACTATACAGTTTCCAGAGCTCCTTGATGAGGTCACAAGGACCTTAAAGAGTTTCCAGAGCTTCTTGGTGAGGTCACAAGGACCTTAAAGAGTTTCCAGAGCTTCTTGATGAGGTCATAAGGACTTTACAGTTTCCAGAGCTTCTTGGTGAGGTCACAAGGACCTTAAAGAGTTTCCAGAGCTTCTTGGTGCGGTCACAAGGACCTTAAAGAGTTTCCAAAGCTCCTTGATGAGGTCACATGGACCTTAAAGAGTTTGCAGAGCTTCTTGATGAGGTCATAAGGACTATACAGTTTCCAGAGCTCCTTGATGAGGTCACATGGACCTTGAGATGGTCCTTTAGAAGGTTCCAGGTGTTCCTACTGAGGTTCCTATGGTCATTCAGAAAGTTGTAGGCCGTGAACATTTTCCAGGGCTCTCCCTGTGTCTTAAGGTGGTTACAAATCTCCTCCACTGGAAGTGCAGCCAAAGGTGAACTGACGAGTGGTAAGATCCGAGTGTTTTCCCAGAATCCCTTGCTCTCTTCCTCTCTGTAGCTTAAAGCAGCTTCGGGATTTGATCCGCCGGCTTCGCTCTGAAAAATTGGCCAAAGGCGAGTAGGCGTCAGCGGAATGGCAAGAAGGGAGAGAAAAGAAAGGAGTCGAGCTCTTTCTGACTTGCATCATGTGTGTACATGTACCTGCAAATACACACGGTCCTCATACTCTCATACTCGGGTAATCACGGAGTCTCACAACATGCTGAAGGTACAAGAAGACAAGAGTTTAATTCTGTGTCTTTTTGTTTGGAAACGTTTTGTTGGATTCATTGAGTTTTTGTAGATTTACAGTTATTTATTTTTACTTGATGTTCTGCAATTCTTTTGTAGCTTCTAACATTTGAGTTTTCCATTTGTTTTTGTTGGTCTTTTTTCTCGCCCCGTAGGATTTTGTGGTTTCGGGGTTCTGCAGGTTTGTGGTATTTTTTTACTTTCTTTGTTTCACAGGTTTGTAGTATTTTGTAGTTTATTTGTTCATTGTGGATCTGTGTTTTTTTTAAATCTCATACTGTACTTTTGTCTGTAGTTCGGTGGTTCTCCAGGTTTCATCTCCCTGCTGGTCTTGGTGCTGGGTGCACACCGCCGGCCTCAGAGCTTTTAATGCACGATCAATGCGGCCTGCAGGGGGGAGGATGGGTGTTGGGGGGCATTGTGGGATCGATGGGTGCTGAGTTATTGCAGCGCTTGGCCACTGATTTTTAGAGAGCTGTGTTTTCCCAGGAAAGTCAATACCTCCAGGCTCCTCTCATTAATTTCACCCCCCCTCCTCCTGCAGCTGCACCAGGGGAGCTGCAGCCCCGAGAGAGGGAGAACATGGGGGGGAGGGGGTGATGGAAGTCAGAGATTTAGACGCCAAGAAGAGATGGAGGAGATTAAAGCCAAATTCTTAGAGAAGGAGAAAGGAGAAGGTGTGTGGTGGGGTGGGGGGTTGGAAAGCAGACAGAAGGTAGAATATTGATTTCTAATATGGAGATCATGTTTGCAGCAGGTTATTGACGAGGACTGGGTGTCTGATCCCCGCTGGAGTCCGTCTGTGAGAAGCGTTAACGGACTCCGGCGGTTTGTTTCCTCTGCAGCGCTGCATGTGTGTTTAATACGGAGCACAAGTCCTCATCATTTACCCCCAAAATGATGCTTCCGCTGCCCCCGGAGGAGGCTTCGCTGCCCGACTGTGCTCAAGAAGCACTGGTGTGTAGTGGAGGGAGGGGGCTAGCGGGGTGAGACTCATAACTACCACAGAGAGACTTAAGATGACCCTTAAAGAGGCAAAACGCACAACAATGTCTAAGAGAAAGCTCAACTGGAGGTCAAGGGTCATTTTATGAGACGACAGCCATTCAGAGAAACACCCTGCATTGTTGCCGTTCGGCTCACTGAGATTAAGGAAAATAAACGCCGCTCCACTCAGATGCCTAATTGCTGTGATAAAAGAAGTGGTGTTCTCTAATTATCCTGCTTGACCTCTGACCTCGCTCACCAGTAGGTCAGAGGTCAAACCTCTGGGTTATTGTCTCCACTGCAGGTGGAGATCTACTTGGTTTCTGTGATTCAATCAAAGGGAAATCATTCACTGAAATGTCAACGAAACATTTCACAAGAAAACAAAGAATTTTTTTTTATTAAAATCATTTTTTGTAGATATGTTCATTGCAGGTGAGGTCAAAAATGAATCAATTGAATAAAAAGTGAAGCAAAATGACCATGAAAAGAGAAATGAACCAGAAAGAGAGTGAATATAAGCATAAAATGACAAAAGGGACACTAACTTTTTAAAATTAAACATTAGGACAATAAAAAACACATAAATTAAACAAAAAACAACCATAAAAGAGAAATGTTATTACGACACAAAAAGAAAAAATTCAGAAAGGAACCAATTACCACAAATTGATGCAGAATGAGCACTTAAAGTTTTTTATGTTATGAGCAGAAAGACACATTGTTCATTAATATAAATAATGTAACTGATAATAATGTTGACTTTAGTGTCGGTAGAATCACAGCTCCAACATTTACTGTTTCACTGCTCCACGCTGTCAGGAAACACAAA